ATTCTTTAAGTCTGCCAATTCTTCCATGCCTTCCTGGCAAATTCTCTCCATTTTGAAAAGTTGCTTTAAGAATTGTACACTCCAGTCAAACTTTAAATATTTGTAACTCCTCCTCATTCTCAGCAAATGACTTCTCCTCCTACTTCCTGAAGAAAATAGAAGACATCAGATGGGAACTCCCTCAGCTTCCTGCTACCAGATTCATACAGTTCCATCTGTACCCATGTTCTTCTCTTTTCCTCCTGTTTTAGTATAGGATATAGTCTGGTGATTGAGAGCCAGTCTTTCCCACTGTGTTTGAATCTCATCCCTTCATGCCTTGTCAGAAATCATATCAACTCCTCCTCTCTGGCTCCACTCTGCTTTTTATTCGGCATATCCTTCTAAATTGGATTATTTCCGATTACATGTAAACTTGTTCATGTATTTTCCATTTAAAAGCAGCGTTCTTTTATTGACTTCCATGTTCCCCCTCCAATTCCTTTCAATGTTTTCTGTTTCTTTAAATCTAAAGTTCCTAAAGAGTAGTTTTCATTATTTGGTGAGTTCATTTCCTCCCGTCTCACTGTTCAACCCTTTTCAGTATGGTGGTTTTTTGCTAGCATTGAACCAGAACATCCATGGCTAATATTACCGGTGACCTCATGATTTAAATCCAATAGATATTTTCCACTAATTTTTTTTCTGACCTCCCAGAGCTCTTATCCACTATTTGTTTCTTAAAATGTGTTTATTTTGGTTTCCAGGGCACCATGTTATCGAAGTTTTCTGCCTTACTTTCTAGCATTTCTTTCTGTTACTTTGCAAACTTATCCTTCTCTTACTAGTTAGTTAGTTCTAAGCACTTTCCCTTTGTGTTTTGTACTCTTTTATAGATTGGGTCCACTAGATCAGATGTTGTCATGATAGAGTTTGGTGTACAAGCTGTTCATTATGAATCAACACCTGGGGGAGGAAGGAAAAGATGTGAGAAAGAAGTTGAACTTTGGCAGAGTCCCAACAAAGCTTTGGCCAGCCTGAGAGTGGAGGTGAGGGAATTTTAAATCATGGATGCATCCACCGTTGGATTAACATGGCTGAGCTTCATACTCCTCCCTTAGTTACTAGAAATGAGGTATCCAGAAAAGGCATGAGATCCCGTGAAGAGGTTCTTTCAGCTGAGGCCGATGGTGGAGGAGCAGGAGGACATCTGTTGGGAGATGTAAACAGTGCATCTTTGTGTCTATCACGAGTTCTCTTTCTGGACAGCACTTGCCATGTCCATGGCTCAGTTTTCACCAATTTACTAACGCCTCCCAAATTTATACATCCATACCTCTGACCTTCTGACACATACACTCAGTTGCCTATTCAATATCTCTACCTGGATGCCTCAAAGAGCTCATGAGTCCAGCATTTCTAAACCTCGTAACAAATCTTGTCAAATTTATCTCCTAAATATCTTATGAATCTGCTCACTTCTCTCCTTTTCTAAAGCCACTACTTCAGTCTGTACTATTTTCTGTAGCCTGAACTCCTGCAGAATTATTCTATTTGGTCTATACAAGTCCACTCTGTATCTTCCATCAGTATATTACACTGCAGCAATAGAAATATTTTATACACATTTTAGTGTGTTACCTCCTCTCTGTCCCCAACTCCCATCCTTAGGGACTTAGCATTATTGTCTTAGATAGAGACCAAAATAATGAACATAGCCCTCAAGGGCTTCTGTAGTTTGGCTCCTATCTATGTCTTTAGCTTAACCTCACTCTATTCCTTTCCTCAATCCCTGTATCCCAGTGGTACTGACTGACTGATTTTCCAGTGGGCTCACAAGAATCTCACAGTACTGTTCCCTCTTCTAGGAATATTCTTCTCCAATTCCTCAGCTTGTTACCTCTGTTTCACCTTTATCTCTCAGCTCAATCCACCTTTTTTTTCCCCAGATAAGTCTTCTTGAGCCTGTTATACTGAGTCAGGTTCTCATAGCACTGTTTTACTTCCTCATAGCACATGTGTTAGAATATAAATGTGTGCTCATTCATGTGACTAACTGACTAATATTTAACTTCCCCATTAGTAAGTTCAATGAGCACAGAAAACAGCTGTCCCTTCTTCAATGTCCACAGTATTTGGGGCCCTGCCTGACCCAGAGTATACCCTCAGTCTATACATACTGAATAAATGTAAATGTCCAAAGCTAGAGCACTTGAAAGGATTGCTAGCCACCATCCAATATAGAGCCCATCATGCAAACTTTTTATTTCAGGCTACCAAAAGGCTCTTGGTTCAGCCTGTTCATTGCTTCTGGGGAGGAAATTGGTTTAAATCTGTGTAGTCTAATCACATGCAACCAACCTCAGCCAATCTTGCATTAGGAGTTACATGTTGCTTTTTCAGAAGATACCTATGGGTAAAGCAGGTCTTGGAGAATGAGAGTCACTTCCTTAGTTTCATTTCCCCTAGTTTCATAGTTTATTTACATTTGTGATTAAGTGACATTAGATTATAGTCTTGGTGAACATAAGAGAAATAAAACCTACCCATACTTTTCTTCCATGACTGTGGTATTAGTGTCATTTTAAGTACAATTTTTAATAAGCAAGTCCTATTGAATGTACTCTTAACTCTGACTGAGTAGAGTTGTAGGAAAGTTACCTTAGAAATGTTCACTGTAGCTGGTATTATACAAAATCTAAATGTTTTGCCCTTATAAATGCATGAATACTAATGATTTTCCTCTGGAAAATTCTCAAAGTGATTTGCCAACACACAGAATGTTCACCAATACCAGCCAGGTCTGAGACTGCAACTGGGGGAAGCTGGGGGCAGTTGTTTAATGTAGCACGATTAGGCTTTTTCAAAATGCAAATATAAAAGAATACCTTATTCAATTGAAGCTTCAGGGGAAATTTAGAAAGGCAAATGCAATTATGCAGGTCAGACAGCTGCCAATGAAGGAGTTGGCCAACATCTTTATTTTGTAAAGAGGGCTGTTATCATTATATATACATATATAAATCTCCATCTGCCCCTGGGGAGATAATGAGTTCTTTAGGGTACAAAGTGAAGAGATATTTTTCATAAAGAATTAGTTATATGTAAATTATAATTGTTGGTGCCAAGATACATATAGCATTTGCTATCAAACGGACAACCATACTTCATATAACCAGACAATGCTAAGCAGTGGTCAAGGCCTAAAATTATTATGCATGAATTTTAATTTTTTAACTCTGTGGTGATAGCAGATAGAAGAGAAGCATATTACTTACCACATTGTCTCTTGAAAAATGGCTTGAGAGAATTTAGTTGGAACATATGTAAACAGCCAGTGTTTAGAAAATAAATGTTACACAACACACATATGTACATATATATATACACTTATTATTTTCCTTACCCGCTAAGCGAAATCCTGAGCTCAGTAAAAATTCTTTTAGGTTCTTGTGTAGTCTTGCTTTCATCAGAAGCCAAGAGATCAAATGAAAAGAGTTGATTTTTTTTAATATCAAGAATTTATAAGTAAATTCCTTTTACTGAGTACCAAGAATGTATTCGACTGGGGTTGGGAACTAGGGATACGAGAGTGAGGAAAACTAGATGGTCTCTACCTTAGCATTTACACATTAAGTATGATAGATTATGATGAAGCAATCATGAAAACAACTATAAAGCTACAACTGGGTCCAAAGATGTCAAAGAGACGTACCCAGTACAGTTCCAAGAAAACTGAAAATAAGTGTAATGGGTGGATTGTTATGGTCAAGGAAGTCAGGGAGAATCTGTCCTTCTCTGAAGAGGAGATGTTTGAGCAGAGCTCTGAAGAATGAAACAGAAAACCTGCCAGGCAAAGACGAGAGCCTATGTGACATTTCTGCGGCAGGAGGTTGCCTCGTATGTAGGAATAAGTGAAGGAAGACCAGTGAGGTGCAGTGATGGGAGCACGAGGAAGGTATGACGGGACGCAGGGTCGCAGAACCTGGACTGCGCTGGGTTCCACATGCCATGTCAGGTTGTTTGGTCTTTCCATTCAGGGAAACACAAAATATTAAAGTATTCTAAAGAGAAGGCAACAAGATCCAATTTGTATTAACTCCTCAGATTAATGTCAATTAAATTTAGACTGCCAATGTATATATACATGATACGTGTGTGGAATAATACATGTGTATAGAACATCAGCACATCTTATTTCATCCCATGTCCTTAAATATAGGGAGATATTTTGAAAATGAATTTTGGATTGAGACTGGTTGTGGGGGAGGGAAAAGCGGCAAAAGGGGATTATTCAAAGTACCGAAAACCTACTCCTGGGATTGAGCGCAGCGGCACCCCTCGGCCAGGGGCACCTCTGGTGCGGCAGAAGCTGATTGAATTACTCAGATATGAAGATCATCTTCTAGGTTTTGTGTAAAAGGCCCTGGATATTTCAAGTGGCCATTTTGGAAGTACAGTGTTTTTGGATAATTTTACCCCAGAAGTTTATTAAAATTGGCAAGAATCATCTCTGAAGTGAATTGATAGTAGTGAACAATTCTACAAGCTACTGAAAAAGAGATCCAGGCATTTCTTCAGTATTTTGGTTCAAATGGATTATATAACTGGTTTAAAGTGTTTCAGCTGGTGGTATTTTTGCCTTCCCCCTAAACCCTCCCCCGTTGTTTTTGTTCTTCAGCCAAAACTGTAAGATATGTTTGATTTGTGTACTGAGTAGTTCGGCAGTTTCAAATTACTGTTTAAGTATTGCTGAAGTTTTTCATGGCAGTTTATTTTCACCTTTATGAAAAGTTTTAGGAACTTTTGACCACAGCACTTTTCATGTCACAATGGGACAACTTTTCTAAATGAAGACACTGAATGCATACAGAGTGTTTTTGCTTTTATCTTTTATTTACATGGAAATTTAAGTTGTGGCAGTTTCCCAGCAGCATGGTAGTATTGAGATAACTGTGTGTCTCTGTTTATGCTGATGTTTAGGAATGCTCTTCAAATGTGAAATTTTCTTTTAGTTTTTGCTTTTTGACTCATAAATTGGATTATTTCATCTGGAGTGGATAAGTACAACAGTGACAAGTACATGGAATAATAAATAAGACTTTAAAATCTTAAAATCCAAGGAACTTGGGTAATTCTGGAGATAGCCATATGCAAATTTTAAAACAGAAGTATGGGTAGCTGACTGAAGTAACTCTATGTCAATTAGCCATAGGTTAAGTGTCTTCAAAGAACCTGGATATTATCTCAGAGGATACAAAATAAAAAAATAAACTGGAAAACATAAAGATTACGGAGACAAACCCAACACCTTCCTGTGCAGTCCTGTTGGAATTTGGACTTGCCATGTGGTGTTGAAACCTTGTTTCACTGAGTTGGAGAGACTGGACCTAAATGGCGCAGCATGACTTTGCTCCAGCCTGGCTTAATTTTCCTACCCCACCATCATCAGCGAAGTTGTCATTGAATTTTGAAAAGCATTCTGAAAACTTTTCATGGACAGAAAATGGTTATTATGTGAACCGCCGACGACACAGCTCTTCAGATGGCTTTGATTCTGGTATTGGACGTCCTAGTGGAGGTCACTTTGGAAGGAAAGAAAAGAATGGATGGCGTACACATGGAAGAAATGGTACTGAAAACATAAATCATCGAGGGGGATACCATGGTGGAAGTTCCGGTTCTCGTAGCAGTATTTTCCATTCTGGAAAAAGCCAAGGACTACATGAAAACAACATACCTGACAGTGAAACAGGGAGGAAAGAAGACAAGAGAGAACGCAAGCAGTTTGAGGCTGAGGATTTTCCATCTCTAAATCCTGAATATGAGAGAGAACCAAATCAGAATAAATCTTTAGCTGCGGGTGTATGGGGCCTACACGCCCAGACACACACATACCCAACCAAAAAAATCTCCCAAGCTCCTCTCTTAGAATATCCCCCGAATCCTAAATCTAGAACTCAAAGGATGCTGGTCATTAAGAAAGGCAATACAAAAGACCTACAACTATCTGGATTCCCAGTAGTAGGAAATCTTCAGTCACAGCCAGTTAAGAATGGGACTGGTCCAAGTGTTTATAAAGGCTTAGTTCCTAAACCTGCTGCTCTACCTACAAAACCTACACAATGGAAAAGCCAAACTAAAGAAAATAAAGTTGGGACTTCTTTCCCTCATGAGTCTACATATGGTGTTGGCAACTTTAATGCTTTTAAATTAACTGCCAAGAATTTTAGTCCATCAACAACTTCAGTAAAAGAGTGTAATCGCTCAAATTCTTCTTCACCTGTTGACAAACTTAATCAGCAGCCTCGTCTAACCAAACTGACACGAATGCGCACAGATAAGAAGAGTGAGTTTCTGAAAGCATTGAAAAGGGACAGAGTGGAAGAGGAGCATGAAGATGAAAGCCATGTGGGCTCAGAAAAGGATGACGACTCATTTAATTTGCATAACAGCAATAGTACTCACCAAGAAAGGGATATAAATCGAAACTTCGATGAAAATGAAATTCCACAAGAGAATGGCAATGCCTCGGTTATTTCCCAACAGATCATTCGGTCTTCAACCTTCCCACAGACTGATGTTCTTTCTAGTTCACTTGAAGCAGAACACAGATTGTTAAAGGAGATGGGTTGGCAAGAAGACAATGAAAATGATGAAACATGTGCACCCTTAACTGAGGATGAAATGAGAGAATTCCAAGTTATTAGTGAACAGTTACAGAAGAATGGTCTGAGGAAAAATGGTATTTTGAAAAATGGCCTGATCTGTGACTTCAAGTTTGGACCCTGGAAAAACAGCACTTTCAAACCCACTATTGAGAATGAGGACACAGAGACAAGTAGCAGTGACACATCAGATGACGACGATGTGTGAAGGATTTCCTAACAGCTTTAGAATTATAGTGTGATACATCTCTCATACAGTTTGGGGTGAATTGTAAAAATGAAGAACTATAATTTATGTAGTAAAATACCCCGTTAGAAGATGATTTTTTTGGGGGGACTTCAATATGAAGAAAACCAAGAATGTTGTGTTGGGCTGTGTTGAACATTATTTCTTTGTAAATGAATGTTGTAGAAATGAGGACTTTGGTTGATCCAACATTGACTTTCTTCATCACTGCAGCATTTCTCTGACTAGCAATGTGACGATGTAACAAATGAGAGTTTCTCATTTAATAATAAAAAAATTGTGTAATGTTTTGCAAAAAAAAAAAAAAGAACAAATTTGAACCAGTTCTAGAGAGGTGGATGAACCTAGAGCCTGTTATAGAGAGTGAAGAAAGTCAGAAAGAGAAAAGTAAATATTGTGTATTAGCACATATATATATGGGATTTAGCTCCCGAGTTCAGACGACATTGGCCACGTTCAGGGTATCATGGTCATATCAAACCCATCAATCCTAAAGAAAATCAGTCCTGGATGTTCATTGGAAGGATTGACGCTGAAGCTGAAGCCCCAGTACTTTGGCCCCCTGATGTGAAGAACTGACTCATTGGAAAGGACTCTGAGGCTGGAAAGATTGAAGGCAGGAGAAGGGAACAACAGGGGATGAGATGGTTGGATCGTATCACCGACTCAATGGACATGAGTTTGAGTAAACTCCGGGAGTTGGTGATGGACAGGGAGGCCTGGCGTGCTGCAGTCCACGGGGTCTCAAAGAGTTGGCCACAACTGAGTGACTGAACTGAAACTGGTGGAATTTGGGGCTTGGGCTCACATGGTAAGGAATCTGCCTGCTAATGCAGGAGACTGGGTCTCCTGGGTCTGGGAGATGCCCTGGAGAAGGGAATGGCAACCCGCTCCAGTATTCTTGCCTGAAAAATTCCATGGACAGAGGAGTCTGGCAGGCTACAGTCTATGCATTTGCAAAGAGTTGCACATGACGCAGCGACTAATATTTTACTTTACTTATGGGATCTAGAAAAATGGTACAGATGAACCTAATGGAGATGCAGATATAGAGACTGGACTCATGGACACAGCAGGAGAGGGAGAGAGTGGGATGAATGGAGAAAGTAGCATCAACATGTGCACACTATCATGTGTGAAATGCGTAGCTAGAGGGAAGTTGCTCTGTAACACAGGGAGCCCCGGCTGGTGCTCTGAGATGGCCTAGAGGGGCAGGATGGGGGAGCGGAGGGAGGCACACGGAGGAGGAGATAAATGTAAGATTATGGCAGATTCACGTCCTCTTACGGCAGAAACCAGCACAACATTGTAAACATTAAAAACCAACCAACCAACCAACAAAAACCCCTGAATCTGATGATCCCACAAACAAAATATGTTTTAGTCTTTGCAGAACTTTTAAAGACACCCCAATGTAGTTATAGTTGGCTAGTGGGTATTAGAAGAAATTTAAGGCATCGCCATCAAATATTCTTTATCATCAACCACATTGTCAGAAAGTTTAGCAGAAAGATGCTCCAATGTCTCTATTTTGTCTTAGAGGTTTATCTTTGGCAGGAGAGGGAAATAGTAAATAATGAACTATCTGAAGACAGGCCTCAAAAAATAAAAACCCCTATGATTTTAAAGAACTTCAGAAGGGGTTCCTCTCATTCTCACTGATGTCTGATTCTCTAATCTGTGACATGAAGACATTTAGAGTAAAAGAACAAATCCAGACTCAGGTAAAGAGACTTTTTTCAGAATGATTATAATGACAACTAGAATGATCCAACCACAAGACTGGTAAGTATTGAAAACTCAGGAGTAAGGAATCTTTCTTTGCAGGAAAGAGACAGAAGGATGGAGGAGACAGGGTGGGACAGGTGGCCCAGGAAGTGTCTCTCCGCCTGGTCAGCTGATTCCAGAAGAGTCTTCCAGGAAGATTGTTTTCATCTGCAACACTTGTCCACTCTTCGGTGTGAGCACAGATCACGAAGCTGTGGATGGAGAACTTAACTAGCCTTTGGTTAAGTCAGTTACACAGGGCTTCCCTCATAGCTCAGTTGGTAAAGAATCCGCCTGCAACGCAGGAGACTCTGATTCGATTCCTGGGTTGGGAAAATACTCTGTAGAAGGGATAGACTACCCACTCCAGTATATGTGGGCTTCCCTTGTGGCTCAGGGAGCTTTGCTGGTGGCTCAGACGGTAAAAGCGTCTGCCTGCAATGCCGGAGACCTGGGTTCAATCCCTGGGACAGGAACATTCCCTGGAGACGTAAATGACAACACACTCCAGTATTCTTGCCTGGAAATTCCATGGATGGAGGAACCATGGGGTCGCAAAGAGTCGGACATGACTGAGTGATTTCACTTTCACTTTCTTGCCCTTGCAGCTCAGCTGGTAAAGAATCCGCCTGCAATGCAGGAGACCTGGGTTCAATCCCTGGGTTGGGAAGATCCCCTGGAGAAACCACCTCCTCATAAGCCAAATTTTGTTTAAATATTGTGTGCTTCCCTGTGGCTAAGCTGGTAAAGAATCCGCCTGCAATGCAGGAGACCTGGGTTCAATCCCTGGGTTGGGAAGATCCCCTGGAGAAGGGAAAGGCTACCCACTCCAGTATGCTGGCCTGGAGAATTCCATGGACTGTATAGTCCATGGGGTTTCAAAGAGTCGGACACACCTGAGCGACTTTCACTTCACTTCAATTAAACAAGCATTTTCTTCCCATTGATAAGTGGGGGAAAAGTTTAACTGATCATTAATGAGAAAAAAGAAACAATTTTGAGAAACTGTGTCTGATTTGCCCTAGGTGACACATGTATATATTTGTATGCATAAATATTTGGTGAACATAATATACATTTTGTATAGTAAATGGCGAATATACATCCTGCTATATCTATGTACTAAGATATATATGTGCATTATATCTATATATCTGCTAAATATATACATTTTTTATAGTATACTATGTGTAGTACACATTTTAAATATACATGCTAGAAATGCTTAAGGTTATATAATAAGATCAAGAAAGAAATGTTCTATTTGGGAGGAATATGGGACATAATCAAAGGGAAGAGTAAAACTTGAAAAGAATTTTCATATGGGCCTTTCAAATTCCAGTATCTCAGATGCAGAATGCTGGGAATGAGAGGGTGGATGTCTCCGGAGAGACTCACTGGGTCGTGCTGACTCTCGCTCACCCAGTGACGGGCACGCAGAGCTTAGATTCCACCTTATTTCAGCAGTCACGTGACAGCCACGTGCCCAAGTGGCCACAGAGCCGTGCGTGTCAGCAGACCCCTGCCCATCTCACCTACCTGACGGACGCCCGTAGTAAAATATATCAAAAGAAGATACTGGCTGGTTGGAATTTCTGTAGTACTTCACGGTCATGACATTGGAAGAAGAACGAAATACCAGGCGTGCCCCTGAACAGAACTTCCCAAATGTAGTACTGTCTGGCAGCCCATCTATGATTTCCACATCCTCTTCATTACAGTTGAGTCTGTCGGAGCAGTGGGAAGGGCAGGCATCAGCCTTTGGAATCATGGTCCCTCCGGCAGGCAGCCTCCCCTGTCCAGACCCCACACAATCACACGGCTTTGCTCACCAGACTTCCCAGGATGGTGCCCTCGGGGAGGGAGACTCACCCTTCTGGAGGAGGGGGTGGTGGTCACCCAGGACCCTCCCCACACCAGGGCTGCAGGTGACTCCTTGCCTCCTGGGCAGCCCCACTGATGGGGCTCAGGGAAGCCCACCCAGGACTCTGGGATCAGGAGCCACTGGAGGGAATAGCACAGTCAATGCCGAGGACCATTTCCTTGGGCAACAAGCATGGAGTCAGGTGAGGCCCAGACAGGCATGTGTGACTCCACTTCTGCTTCACCCTCTGCACCCCTGGCACAGGGGGCCCAGGACCCCTGCTTGGCCTCCAGGACCTGCAGAGGCCAGAGGGGCATCCAGCTCTCCCTGCTGTGGGCAAAGTGCACACACGGGTTGTCACACTCCTGCTGAGGTCTCCATCTCCTCCTCCTGCCCATCAGACCTGACCCCACTCTGTCTTCCTCTCTCAGCCCCCAGCGTGTGTTCCACCCAGGAGGGAGGTTGGAGCCTCTCTGGGTTAAAACGAGACCCGGAAGGGACATCTCACCAGGACACAGACTCAGCTCCCTCTAGACTAGCTTGCTGTTGGAAGGACTGATTCCTTCCTGGCCCCAAGGGCAGTCATATCCAAAACTGGCCTTGGAGAGGGTCAAAGGGACAATAATGAAAACTTTTAGGATAATCTATCCCTCTGACCCTAACAGAAATGGTGATGCAGGAAATGCCTGCCTCCTTCAGCCCTGGCATGTGGTTTGGGTAGATGGTCTGAGCCTTGCTATGGGGCAGGCATCTCCAGGTTGTCCTCCTCACACGGAGCAGCTCCTCCGCCTAGTGGGAGACCTGACCTCATAGAAGGTCTGGAGGGACAAGGCCCTCAGTCACAAGATGATAGAACTAATCCCAGCCACCCCTGACAGTGAATTTTATTCCACAAATAATGAAACTGTCACTTCCAGGTTAAAATATGTGAAGAATAACCTGCTACAGAAATGCTGTAATTATTGCTACTTTGGAAATGCCTTCTGGAGCGTAATAACTTCATTCACACTTTCAAATATTAATTAGATCTTTCATTCACGTATCCACTCCTAGGTAAAACAAACAAGCGATAGACACGCATCCTAGGAGAGACAAACTCAGACATCAGTAGGAGTGATGTTATGCTGCCAATTCCCCCAGAGTTGTGCACGGATTAATGGATAAGGCACAAATCCAAGAAAGATCCGCCCAGCTGTGGACAGTCAGAGCAGGGGTTTCAGGTGTGATGGAAACGTTCTTCCTCCAGTGAAATCATGCACTAGGAAATGAGGACCCTAAGCAGCAGGTGGTGAGTCTGGGAGAGGCGGGAGCTGCCTTCCAGGCAGAGGGGACAGTGTGAGCAAAGGCTCAGAGCTGCCCGACAGTCTGGGGGGTCCACAGCTCAGTGTGTGATGGCTCAGCTCAGAGAGGGGGCAGGGGGAGAAGAGGTGAGAAGGGAGGGGAGATCAGGGGTCCCCTGGAGGGATCTGAAAGCCATGCAAGGAGGGTCTGCTTTATGCAGAGGGCAGGGGGCCATGCAGGGTCATCAGCAGGAGTGAGCTGGAGTCAGGATGTGTCCAGATGTGTGTGCTGGGTGGTGCAGGGGGAAAGGGGAGGGGCAAAGAGGGACACCTTCCCATCAAAGCAGAGCATCAGCAAAGAACCCTCTGCTGAGCACTGACCTGAGAAATGGAATTGTCAGTATAATTTGATAACCGCTCTTCAACTGGATGGTCCAGGTGCACTTTGGCTGCCATGAGAAGGCGCTGGAGATCCTCCCGGAGAGGCTTCTGTGGACGCCCCCGCATTTCCTAGTGTCTACAACAGAAGCCAGCTTTCTTGCTGCCCAGAGGCTGTGACAACCCCTGGGTGGGGGCTGCACCATCCTCGGGCCCCATACCATCATTACACCTTGTGATCTCCGGATTCCAAGAATCACAAATCAACAATGATCCAAGTCGAATGACCTCCAAAAATGTATTTTTAAAGTTTTACTCTTTTAAACATTTTAAAGGGAACCATACCCATCACTGAAATTTGTTTTGACCCCTGAACACAGATATATTTAATCCCTCTTCAGCAAATAAATCTTTATCATCAACAGCATGGCCAGCCTGGAGGTCAGAAGGTGCACACAAACCCCTCTTTCTGTCTCCTGCATGTCTCTTCCCAGTGAAGCCTGAGAAATAGCAAAGGCGCAGCCCAAGGACCCCTCAGTGCCAAGAGCACCCACTCACTGTGCGGACCAGCAGGGGCGCCAGGACCCACTCAGTGACGCCCAGGCTCCACCCCTGTAGGTGAGGATAAAAAGAGCACTCTCCTTCGGGCATTTGGATCTAATGAGCTCCTGGCTGGAAGGCGCTCAGCCAGTGCCTGGGCCTGGAAACTTCTAGAGCACAGGACCCGTCTCTGGCCAGCTGCACCCTCTGACCCAGTCCCTCCTGCTGCCCTCACTGCCTCTCCCTTCGAAGCTCTCATCTCTGACCCTGAAAACGGTGATGTCCCCCAGCCCTACTGCCTCCAGCCATTAGGAGGCGGCTCCATCCTCCCGGGCCACCTGCTCCATGGAGACGCGGCCCCTTCCTCCTCCCGCCAAGTGAGGCTTCTCCCGAGTTTGGGAGACGCGGTGGGGTGGAGAGCAGGAGTGAGGCAGGGCGGGGAGTCCTCAGAGGCCTGGAGAGACTAGAGTTAGGGACTGTGATGACGGAGCCAGGCTGTGAAGTCCACAAAGCTACGTTCTTTTGGTAACGGGTGCGTACGCTTCCCTTGTAGAGAAACCATGCACCTCAACTTTAAGGCCCATCTCTATGTGATGAGGGGAAGTGGTGAAATCATATCGTCTACACTTACCTTCATCCGATTCTGCTGAAACCAGTGTGGCTGAAAGGTGGCAAAACAGAAAAACATTGTGAAAATGAGAGGTTACGGAGCGGCCAGGGTAAGAGAATGGAAAACGCATAATGTCCTGTGCGGACGAGCTGTGTGCCAAGGGATGGCACTGAGATGAGAGAGATGCTCTGCTGTCCTCCACCCTGGGGACCGTCCTGGTCACACAGCGGAAGGGCAGAAGGAGGGCCCTCGATGTTTGGCCCATTCAGCTTGATGTCTTTGTTTTCCCCAGATCTACTCAGTTTAGGGCCACTGTTCCCTCTCTGTAGCCAGAGTTGGAAGAGTCAGCTCCCAGGAAGGTGACCACCTTGTCCCTTTAGCCTTGGCACTATCCAGGTCTCAGCACTGAACTACCTTCTCCCAGAAAATGTCTCAATCCCAGCCAAACTAAGAGAGTAGTTCACCAAACTAGGGCATGAACGTTTCTTTTTCATCCTTCGGTGGTGAATTTGAGGTTGGAGTGAACATTTTCAGTTAAGGAGAAGTGGACCATCTTAATTTGCAGAAGGTTCACTGTATCAGGGACCTGAGTTAGGTGAATGGATCAAGGGCCCTGATTTCAATCACATGGCCTCCCAGGGTGGACCTACAATGTGGCTTATCTTCACAATACAACAATCAGGCGTAGCAAAGCTTAGGAATCAGATGGCCCTGGGTCACAGCCCTGTGGGGATTAGAGATGCATGGCTTTGGACAAGTTATTTTCTCTCCTTAAGCCTCAATCCATTCATCTCTAAAATGGAAATTCAACAGTAAGAGCCTCCTTGGTTCCAGAGGACAGTCCACACATGCATAGTTCAGTGCCTGGCCCAGGGATGCTCCCCACTAGGTTACCTGCCACTCCTTCATTTCCTTTCCCATAGAAACTGCTTTCCTTGGTAAATAGAAATCAACAAGTCCTCTGGAAGCCATTTGACCATAAATGTCAACCAGGACACTGTGGTCCATCTCCACCTACCCTTCCTGAGTCCTGAAGTGTCATTGGATTGGGGGCACAGTTATTTCCAAATTTCTTTTGATATTGATTTCTAACATAATTCCACAGTGATAAGAGAACAGACTGTATGATTTCAAAGCCTTTAGACCATGAAATTTTTGTACCTTGTTTTATGTCCCTGGATATGTTCCAGTGTCTCCTAGTTTATAGCCTATAGGAACCTGAATAAAATTGGTATCTTACTGTTGTGTGAAAACTGTATAAATCTTAATTATGTTGAATTGGTTCACAGGGCTTCTCAGGTCTGTTATATCCTTTAACTTCTTTGTATATTCTTTATATTAGTTTTGAGAGTTTGATATTGAAACTCCAGTGAAACATCTTATCTATTTTAAAAAATAATTGTAATAGACAGTGGAACTATATGTAACTTTGTTCTGTATTTTCCAAGTCTCCTGTAAAGGTGTTATCATACTTTCATAATTTAAAAAACAAAAGTTAAAATATTAAAAAAAAAGAAAAACCCTCCCCACCCTGGGGCATCCATCACTGTCTGCTTAGGAAGATACAAATGAAGGTTTGCCTGAGAGCAGGCCTCAAGGACAGAAGCAGAAAGCATTCCTGTCCCTTCAGGTGGTGTATCTGGCCTGGACCTACACATATAGTGACCTCCTCTGATCTAGAGTCTGAGGTCCCGACTCTGAAGCAGGGGGACACATAGCCCCTTGTAGGAGCTCAAGACACGTCACCCCAAAACATGCCATCTTGATCTGTTGATGATTTGAGCTGAAGGCGCTTGAGAAGGAGCAGAAGCCGGAGGGGCTCTGATGGACCCGCTTCTACCTGCAAGGTGCCCACGAAGTGTACCAGGAGAAGGGCTGCCCCTCACCACCCCCACCGCTGGCCAGGGAGACAGGAAGGTCCCCATCACCAGAGCCTGGGGTGGACGCTGAGGGGGATGTGGGCGCACACACTGACTGCATGACCCTCCCTTCCGCTCGCCCCCACTCACTCCTAGTCGTGACCCACCACTGACTGTAGGGAGAGAAGCAGAGAGGGAAGAGAGAGCCTAGCCACGGGACAGCCCCTGACCGGAAGTGTGAGGGGCAAAGGTGAGCCGGAGGAAAAATAGGGAGAGGGGAGGGAAGCTGGGTGAGGAGAGAGGAAAAGAGGAGATGGACTGAAAAGGGCAGAGGAGGAAGGACAAAATGAGACAGACAGAGAGAACCAGGAAGGAGGAGACAGGGATTTCCCTGAAGAAATGGCTGCCTTCCTGTTCTTTCCCGCCAGCACTGGGAACCAGCATGAGTAGCGAGTCCCTCAGTGGTGTCAGACTCTTTGAGACGCCATGGGCTGTCGCCCACCAGACTCCTGTGTCCAAGGAATTTTCCAGGCAAGAATACTGGAGCAGGTTGCCATTGCCTTCTCCAAGGGATCTTCTCAACCCAGGGATCGAACCCGCATCTCTTGAGTTTCCTGCATTGGCAGGCAGATTCTTTACCACTAGCGCTGCCCGGGGAGTCCACACCAGCATGGGGCCCTCTGTGTTCAGTGCAGGCCCAAGGCCTAGCCCCCTGAAGAACTCTGACTACCCGTCGGGACGTCCCCAGCCCTGCTGGGAGCTGCTGCTCCTGCTGGTCATTCCTGAGCTCAGGTTATTGCCACGTCTGCATCCCGCGGGCAGAGGCAGAGCACTCCCACATCTCCAGGGGCTTCTCTAAGGGCCCCCACTTCCCTCTGGATGCCACCCTCCAATCAGGTCCAGCCAGGGTCCCACCTACAGCACCCACACTGTCACACCTCCAAGACCCCTGAAAAGCTGACCGTGACTGGTTCACCTCCTCCAGGTTTGGGTGAGGGATGGCTGTTCCTCAGGGCATCCCAGGTGAGTGTCAGTCGCTCAGTCGTGTCTGACTCTTTGCAACCTCAGGGACTATACACTCCATGGAGTTCTCTAGGCCAGAACACTAGAGTGGGTAGCCTTTCCCTTCTCCAGGGGATCTTCCCAACACAGGGAGCGAACCCGGGTCTCCCACATTGCAGGCAGATTCTTTACCAGCTGAGCCAGCAGGGAAGTATCCCAGGGGACATTGGTTAAGGCAGAGGGGCCCAAGGAATGAATGCCAGAACAAGGACGGACAGCCCAGAAAATGCTTAAAAATCATTATATACTCAGCCCTGGGTCTTGGCCATCCTCCTGGACCCTCCTCCTCCAGGCCAGGCTAGGGAGGCATCTCCTTGGAGGAGGGCAGCTTGCAGACCCTCTTCCGCAGCAACAAGCGAACTGCACAGATCTCTAGGTGAACAGGAAGCAGAGAGGCCCGGGGGCAGGGGGCTGGGGGCCAGGCTTTACCTGTGCTGAGCAGCAAGACCCAAGGGATGGCGCTGGACAACTTCATCTTCGCAGCCTGGCCCCGGCCTCAGCAGTGAGCCTGGCCCCCGAGGCCTGGGGCTATATACACACAGCAGCTGACACCTGATCTCCTCCTCCCCTGGAGCCCAGCCTCGCAGGGCTGCGGGAACCCCGGGTTCTCTAGGAGAAGGGGGCTGCCTACTGCTGCCCACCTTGTCTTCACCAGAGATTTTCTGTGTCCTTTCCCACCCAGACTGGGAAATGATGACCTGTTCCTTCTCTCCCTCTCCTGTCTTTGTGGTCCTCGATGAAGGCTGACAAATGAGCCACAGACCACCAGGATGCCCTGTCTGCAGGGCCCTCTTCCCTGGGGTCCAGCTACAGCGTGTCCACCCCTAGTTACTTCATAAACCTCAGCACGACTTGGATGGAGAGGAACTGAGACCCAGAGAGACCAAGGGACTTGCCCACATCCCAGGGAGCCAGTGGCAGAAGCAGGACCAGTCTGACGTCCTGGCTGGCTGGTCTTAAGAGCCCTCCTGCATCACTCAGGGCAAAGGCAGGTAAACAGACCCTCGCCTGTTCCAGGTGTGGGTCACGATTGGCGGGGCAGCTGGAGGACATGTCAGCCTGTGTGTGGTGTGTCCACAGGGGTGACCTGGCCTCACACGTCAGAATTCTTTCTATATTTATGATACTAAGACCACATGGCTCAGTCTGATGAGTGTCACAGTTGTGAGAACCTAGCAGAAGCCCCTATGGAAGACAGTCTAGTAGGTTCTCAAATGTTTCACACTAGTTTCTGTATGGTCCAGGTTTCTACTATGTATTTAGCAAGGAAATGAAAACATGCGTCCACACAGAAAATTGTGCATGAATATTCATGGAAGTATTATTCATAAGAGACAGAGTGAAAACAATCCAAATTTCTATCATCTGAAAAAAAAAATGGTCCATCCACAAAATCATAATCATTCAGCCATCAAAAGGAATGGCAGCCCACTTGCCTTCCAAGGATCGTTACCAGCTAACACACACCAACCAAGAGAACCCAATGTCCATTTCCTGATTAAACAGCTCTGAATTCTACCAAGTCTTTCAAAACATCTTGGTGTTGTTTGAATTGTTTGAAATAATATCTTCTTTTAAAATGTGCATTTCTCCAACTCCAGTGCATTTGGCCACTTCTCCAGTGTTTCTAGTCCAACCCCAGTTCTTGTGAGAAATGTCTCGTCTGGTCATACATATCTTTGTTGTTGTTGTTTTTTTCCATTTATTTTTATTAGTTGAAGGCTAATTACTTTACAACATCGCAGTGGTTTTTGTCATACATTGAAATGAATTAGCCATGGTAGTCATACATATCTTTGAGCCAACTGTTTATTACTGTTGCATCACTCATTTTTCCTTATGGGTTGTAGAAACTTCCTGTTCTTTCTCACTCATACCTTTCTTTACAGGAGCCCTAATGGGCTCGCAGTGGGAGGGACATTCCACCTCCAGTGGACCGCAGGGAAGCTGTCTGAACCTTCTGGTCACTCAAGCTCTTCTGGCTGATGAATGGAGGAGGAAGTTTATTGGACAAGGTCTCCCTCTCAGAAAACAGCGCTGATTCTGCTCCAGTTGGTTAGGCTCCCTGGTTGTTACTTCTGTAAAATGCAATCATTCCTCATAGTTCTCCTTGCATCTAGAATTTCCCTTCCCTTCCATTCTCTGTTATCCTTTAGAGTCCCCTACACACAGAATACTCCCTGGCCCTGGCCTGTGGAGAGAAGAAGGAGCACCCCATGGCTGTAAATGCCTGGATGGAGGGAATGCAGGAGCCGTGGGAGGAAGGCAGTTGCTTCTCTTCCATCTCAGCCCAAGCATCCCACCTTCAGTCCCCACGTGTTGGGCCCACTGTCCTCCCCAGCAGGGTCCGAGCAGGGCTGTGACTGCCTGGGGAGAAAAGAAACAACAATCCCTTTCCCAGGGACACACAGGAATCAGTCCTAGGTTCCTGAAGTGACTGTGCCCTCTGGAGGAAATTTACGAGGTAATAGTTTTTGAGGACTTCCGTCCCTCAGATGTTTGTCCCAAAGCTCATGCCTGGTTTTTGAGGTCCCAAAACAAGCCTGGTCTCCTTGCGTCTAAGCTCCTTCCCTGTGGACTGCTCCCCTGAACACTCTCCTCTCCTCTCCATTAGATGCACTGGGTGTCTGCACCCGGTTCACAGACCACCCCCAAGTGTCTCCCACCTCATCATTTCTTCCCAGCTGCTCTCTGTCTAGACCATCCCAGGGAGGCTCTGAAGGGTGTGTTGGGCATTTTGTGAGCTGCCTTCCTAGCCTGGATTCCCTCCTCATTGACAGAGAACTGCAATTTCTTTCAGTTTCTATTCCCCTTGTGTGTGCCATGGGCCATGGGGGATGCTGACCCCAGACCCAGCTCTGAGAGGAGGTCAACAGGAAGTCCCCACCCTGGTCGGTGATGGTGCAGGAACAAGCATGTCCCCAGGTGAAGGGACAGGGAAGGTCTGGCTGCAGGGGAGGTGGGAGAGGTCTGCTCCACGTCATCCCAACTGAGGGTGAAGCCAAGTCACAAGGGAGGCAGCGCACGAGGATGGTGGGGCCGCCAGCCCAGAGCCACCGGGCAAGCTCGCCCCAAAGCCCCTTCCCTTCCAGCTCCGGAGGCACTGCCTGTCCTTATGGTTGAAGGGGTTTCAGATGGGGGTCCCAATCAGAAGGAACTTGATTGACAGGTGCAGAAAAAACAGGCTCACCCCTTCAGGCTCCCAGGACTTGAGGGACACAAAGTTTTTCTAAGATTCCTTAGAGAGTCTTAGAAGAACAACAGCTATCTTCTGTTTGAGCCCCCAGGCTAAGCAGACCTGCTCTAGCTCTGCTTTTCTTTGGAGGAAAGGCCATAATTCCTAAATCTTCCAGCACGATATTGATGAAATGTGAAGACAGCCGTCCTGTAGTGTTCTTAACTCTACTGCTGCTGCTGCTAAGTCGCTTCAGTGGTGTTTGACTCTCTGCGACCCCACGGACTGTAGCTCACCAGGCTCCGCTGTCCACAGGATTCTCCAACCAAGAATACTGGGGTGGGTTGCCACTTCCTTCTCCAATGCATGCATGCATGCTAAGTCGTTTCAGTCATGCCCGACTTTTTGTGACTCCATAGACAGCAGCCCACCAGGATCCTCTGTCCACAGGATACTCTAGGCAAGAATACTGGAGTGGGCTGCCACTTCTAGGAATGCTGTTTATATCTCAATCATAAACAATATGTTTTGCTGGATGTTCTTTCTAGTTGCGATTTATGAAAGCAAACTTGTTTCCTTCAATGACTAATTTCTAATAGCTTTTTTACAACATTAACAGTTATTCAATTTTTTTGTTTGTTTCTGTATCTGTTGAAGTGTTAATATGGATTTTAGTGTTTATTCTATTAGTATGAGAAGTTACTTTCACAGATTTTTTTGATTTCAAGTTACCTTTTCATCCTTAGCATAAATATTTATTTTTAAGAATATTTTGTAAATTATCAAATTTAGTTTCCTGGAGTTCTGTCCTATTCTTTTTTATTTTATGTTTGCACCTATGTTCATAAGTTTTATTTACTGATTTCCTTTCCTGTACTGTCCTTGCCTATTACTCATATCAGATCATAGTTTTATCAGATTTTTCTATATTTAAAATGACTTGAGTAGCCTTTTTGAGTCCTCTAAGATATTTTGAATAAAATAAAGATGATTGAAAACAGCAATGTTTCCTTGTAAAACTGCCTGAAATTATGGCCTTTGAGCACAAAACTTTTTTTCACTCTGTGGACAATTTCAGGGCATTAGTCATCATATTTTATTAAATAATCTCTAATGTGATTATGAACGGATTGTTTTCTTAATTTCTTTTTCTGATAGTTTGTTATTAGTGTGTAGAAGTGCAATAGATTTCTGAATATTAATTTTGTATCCTGCAAATTTACCAAGTTCATCAATGAGTTCTAGTAGTTCTTGGGTGGCATCTTTAGGATTTTTTATCTGTACTATGGGGCTTCCCAGGTAGTGCTAGTGGTAAAGAATCAGCCTGCCAATGTAGGAGTTCACTTCAGCTCAGTTGTGTTTGACTCTTTGCGAGCCCATGGCACAACAGGCTTCCCTGTCCGTTACTAACTCCTGGAGCTTACTCAAACTCATGTCCATTGAGTCGATGATCCCACCCAACCATCTTTCAACCCCTTCTCCTCTTGACTTCAATCTTTCTCAGTATCAGGGTCTTTTCCAATGAGTCAGTTTTTCGCATCAGGTGGCTAAAGTATTGGAACTTCAGCTTCAGCATCCATCCTTCCAACAAATACTCAGTACTGAATTCCTTTAGGATGGACTGGTTTGATTTCCTTGCAGTCCAAGGGACTCTCTCAAGAGTCTTCTCCAACACCACAGTTCAAAAGCATCAATTCTTCAGCATTCAGCTTTCTTTATGGTCCAACTCTCACATCCATACATGACTACTGGAAAAACCATAGCTTTGACAAGATGGACCTTTGTCAGCAAAGTAATGTCTCTGCTTTTTAACACGCTGTCTAGATTTGTCATAGTTTTTCTTCCAATGAGCAAGCGTTTTTTAATTTTATGGCTGCAGTCACCATTGCAGTGATTTTGGAGCCCAAGAAAATAGTCTCTGACTGTTTCCATTGTTTCCCCATCTATTTGCCATAAAGTGATGGGACTGGATGCTATGATCTTAATTTTTTGAATGTTGAGCTTTGAGCCAACTTTTCACTCTCCTCTTTCACTTTCATCAAGAGGCTTTTTAGTTCTTCTTTGCTTTCTGCCATAAGGGTGGTGTCATCTGCATATCTGAGGTTATTGATATTTCTCCCAGCAATCTTGATTCCAGCTTGTGCTTCATCCAGTCTGGTGTTTCGCATGATGTACTCTGCATAGAAGCTAAATAAGCAGGGTGACCATATACAGCCTTGACGTACTCCTTTCTCAACTGGGATTCTCTGGTGGCTCAGACGGTAAAGCGTCTGCCCGCAATGCGGGAGACCCGGGTTCGA